ACAACACTGGCGCTCCTCCATCAACTTGAAATTCTTTAGGGGCGTCAGTCCTCAGTTTTCAATCCTTTTGGTCATTTGATGACAAAGAGGGAGAAATCTGAGTTAGTCTTCAAGCGGGTCTATATTAAGGGCATTTTTTTGGTTACAACTCTCATTCTTCTGAAACTTTTACTTGGATCGAGTTGTAATCTTACACCCGATGGTGCGCTGATACTTTTGTTGCATTATGCTCTGCATGCTTATTCCTCGTTAATGACTTTGCACGCATGCTGAATCTCATCAGGCACCATATTTCATCATGCATTTCAAATTCTTCATATTATATATCAAACGCGTGTATGAATTACAAGATATAGGAGGAGATCTCCATGATTCAACTCTTCAAATGTGCATTGCCTCAAAAGCAAATTCCTCACTATGCACATCTTCAGGGGGAGTTCTTCTATATCTTGTAATCAAATTCCTCAATATCAGTGTATACACTTCATATATTTATCCCCGTTGAAAACTTAACCTATGTTGTCATCAATCACCAAAAAGGGGGAGATTGTAAGTGCATCTAGTGCCCCTTAGTGATTTTGGTGTATTGAAGACTTATACGTTAAGGGACTAATGCGTTTGTGAGTGTACACAGGTCTATAAGTCTATGAGGAGTTTGATATTTACAGAGAAATTCGACCCCTAAAAATGAAGTTCTTCAACTGAAGACTTTGATAATCTGAAGACTTTCTGAAGACTTTGAAAGTGAAGAAATTGGCGTGACCTTGAAGACTTGGTATTCATTTATGGAACATGAAGCGTGAAGACTTTTGTTTTCGTAGTTTCATTTTCTCTTTCTTGAGTCATAGGAAACACCGTACTGTTAAAGGGGGTCGAGGAAATACTAAGGAAATTTTCCATGTGATGCTCAACTCAAATCCTACACCTACCAATCCCTTCGAGTGAAGCCTTTGGAAATCTCATACAGTTCAGTCACTTTCTTCAGTGACAGAGACGAAGTTCTTCTGGTCGCTGATAAATTTGTTCTGACTGAGGAGTTAGGAATTCTCCAGTGCGAATTACCTACACAGTGAGGAACATGATAGCCCTAAGGAATTTGAGAGTCAAATTTCCGACAGTTGCTGTGCTGCGCGCCAGCTGTCCCAAAATATCTTATCCACCTAACGGTCATATCATTGAGGGGCATTTATGTCTTATCATGTCAGGCTGCTCCCTAGGCTATAAATAGCCGCCCCCTACAACCACTAGCTGGTTGGCTGCTCCGAGAGAACTTGACACTTGTCATTTGAGAGCAACCCATCCTCCGAGGACTTTGAGCGAAAATCATCAAGTGAGGAAAATCCCAAACCCAAACACCTACAAAACCCAAAGTGATTGAGCATCACTGAAGAAATTGATCCCGCGTGGATCCGACGCTTGTTACCTTTGAAGACTGTGCTTCTTCCAGACGGTTAGGCGTCAAGGTCTAGAGCATCCAAGAGGAATTGTGGATCGCCGAGTGACCAAGTCTGTGAAGGTTTGGAAGTCGCCTGAAGACTTACCACGAGTGATTGGACGGGATCTGTGTGATCTTAGTTCAAGGAGAATACGGTGAGGACTGGGTGTCCTGAGTTGCGTGCTCAGTGACTGGGTGTCCGGGACTGCGTGTCCTCGAGTTTAAATACTCAGCCGCTCCAACCAGACGTACAACTGAGACAGCAGTTGGAACTGGTCTACCAAATCAATGTCTTCACCAACCTAACTGGTTCTATTTCCTCAACTCTTTCATTTCCTCATTACTGTGTTGAGTGTTTGTTCATATCTGTGTTTGAAGACTTTGACTGAAGACTTTCTCAATTTCCTCAGTTCAATTTCTTTAGTCTGTTTGTCTTCATCTTGTGTTATCCTGTGATTACGCTTTCTGTACTCTGTGCTAGTCTTCATTTCATCATGATGACTATGCGTGCACTCTGTTATGCTTACTTCTGAGTACTTATTCCGCTGCTAATAGTTCTTCGCTAAGGAATTTCCTCACCGGCAAATTCCTCAGTGAAGAATTCATAAAAATCGCCTATTCACCCCCCCCCCTCTAGTCGACATAACGCACTTTCACGTGGACAGCCTCTGGCCTTCACCTCTAGAACTGGAGGATCCCAATTTTGGCAATCTGTCATCCAACTGATGCCGATTTTACGTATTGGCACCTTGATTCGTGTGGGATCGGGGTCCAATACCCTATTCTGGATGGACCATTGGTCCGGAACCCGGCCATTCGCGTAACGGTTACATGCGTTATTCTCAATCTGCTCTCGCCCACAACTTACGGTGGGGGCTGCTTTGGATGACCTAGGTTCTATAACCTTTCATCGCACTTTTGGGGCCGTTGAACGCGTGAAGTGGGAGGAGTTACTTGAGTGCATCGCCCTGCACTCCCCCTCCCTCCAGTCGGATGCCCTTTCATGGGACCTTGAGGCAAGTGGAGTTTTCTCCATCAAGTCCTTGTACCGGGCCATGCTGGCCACCCCCGGTCCTATAGAACTCACGCTTATTCGGGAGATTAAACTCCCTATGAAGATCCATATCTTTCTTTGGCAGTGGGTCCGCGGCCGCCTACCTTCAGGTACGGAGGTGCGCAAGCGTAATAGCCCTGGAGACGGGCTTTGCCCTCTATGTGGTGTCCCCGAAGACTCCAACCATATTTTCTTCCGCTGCCCGGCAGCTCGGTTCCTTGGAGCTGCTTCCAGGAAGTGATTGGAGGAATTTGGTGCCACGATAATCTCCTGGATATGTTCGGCGAGATCCTTAGTCTCCCCGGGTCTAGGCGTGCGCCCCTTTGGGTTGCCATGTGCACCCTTGCGTGGACTCTCAGGAACTGCCGCAATAAATTAGTCATCGGACACGTCATTCCTTGCCGTGTAACTGACGCAATCTACAAAATGTGTGGCTTCTTACAGCTATGAAGACCGCTTAGCAAGCGGCGCGATCGAGACGCCATCGACACCATCATCATGGTCTACGATCCACTGCATCCGCGTTGGCGCCGCCTCCTCCCCCACCACCCCGGAGCCGGATTAGCTTCTAGTTGTTTCTTTTCTGTTTGGGGCTTATCTTACTGTGCCTCCAGCCGCACTTATTTACTTTTCGCTGCTTTCCTCTTCTTGTACTAAAATCTGGATTGTTGTCGCATGTTGTGGGATGCTTGGTGTTGTTGCTTTATATAATAGATAAAGCGGGGAACCTTTTTCGTCAAATGCCTCCGCGGTTTCAATGCCAAATCCTGCTTGATTTCACAATTGCCTGCTAAACAGTCAACCATTGCCATCAACGATCAGCCCATGCCTCAGGCAGCAAGTTCGTTTGCACTCATCTAATGCGCCTTAGCTGAAGACAAGTAGGAGTACCATACTGTATACAAAAAAAAAAATATGCTATTCCATTCTCAAGCTAAAATTCACAAATTGCAAGCGCCGACGCTGGTTGGATCAATCCACGCAAGCCACTCCGGCTCACCCAAAAAACGACAATCAGTTGCGTGCGTGCAATGAACTGCCAATTCAGACAGAACCGGGCCACCAGCCGAGCGACGTCGCCTGTCGAACCCGCCCCACTCTCGCATCCCGCCAGCTCGCAGGCCACCCCGAAATGTCGAAACATCTCACGAGGAAGCCCGCAGGTGTGCTCGGCAGTTCAGAGCATATGATTTCGACAGGCCCGTCGCCATTGCCACCGGTCCAAGCAAACCAAACCAGTGTGAAAAAGGCAGCCAAGGAGAGGAGCAGAATTCTTAGCAGCCAAGGGAGAACTAGAACATATTCGCCGAGCATATAGATAGCAGTGGTGCTTCTAGCTACACATGTAATTCGTTCCTCGCCTCTTCCGTGCCTCAAACGTTTCACACACCTCCAAAGGCCACTTGGATAAGTAGATCCGAATTGTTTATCAAGATCAACAATTTGCCTCTCGTTGTGGACCATCTTGGGGTCCCTTTCGTGGAGGTGGGGACGATGCTTCTGAAGATTTTCAACTTGGAATGGAATATAAACACCTGGAAATAATGAAGCCTCCTTTCTTGGTGCTTGTGTGATTCTCAAGTATTCATGCACACAACTCCAATTTGAAAATGTTACGTAGCCTTTTCTTTTCTTTTCTTGGAGGGTTGGATTGCAAGAGAAGGATGCTACTTTTGACCCAGCGTGCTTTCCCCCTAATTCTTCTTTCGTTGCACTACTAATTTTTTGCATTTCCGATGCATCAATGCTTAACAAGCTAGTGCCTGTAATAAAGTCCTTTGCGGCTAAGGCTAGGAATTGAAATGCATGATCCATATAATTCTTAAATCTGGTCAATGGAATAGCTCGGTCACTGATGAGCTCATGAACAGATGTGCATTGCGTGAGGTCGGGGTGCCGGCCAAGAGCCCGTCTCCGGTGAAACTCTCACAAGCCTCGCGGTGCACATGGTACTTGAGTCTCCCTTCCATAGCTTACGGTATAACCAAAACCCTTCACCAATAATGTTGCTATTCCCTCCATTCTACTTTAAATGCCATCGTTTTGTAATGTTTACAGTAAGGGTTCTTCAGAAATTTTAAGCATTGATCATTACTATAGAGAGAAGTTTTTGGATGGCTGTATAAATTACGAAATGACAGATTTATGGAACGCAAGGGGGAAATAGGCTGAATATACAACATCACAATGAGACTAGTAATAAAATTTAAATTCAGGAGTACGTAGTAACGAAGAGTTACATACATTACACTCTCGACTGGCCTTGCTCGGAGAAAAAACAACCGGCGAAGCAACCAGGAGATCACTAATAATACAATAAAGTACGCAGCTAATTGAACTTAAGCTTAAACCCTTCTTGACGACTGCTACTACGACGACGATGGCGAACTCCTTAAACCCTAACCGCAGTGGCTGTGGCTGATGTCTAATATTCCATCGAGCCTTGGCCGCTGCAGGATTAATTACACTGCTTAATTAATTCATTCATGGAGCTTCCGTTTGCTCTGGCGATCACGAGAGGATGGAGTCCCAGTCGATCTCCCACGACGGGCACTTGTGGAGGTCCTGGTGGAGGTGGAAGGCGTCGGACTCGTCCCACGGCGCCTCCGAGAAGTCCAGGTTGGCCATCTCGTGGAGCGGCGCCGCGGACTGCTGGTGCTGGTGATGCGACGACTGCGGCGGCGGAGGGAGGGGCGTCGAGCCGGCGGAGAGCACCGACCCGTCTCCCTCCGTCGACGACGTCGACGTGGAGGCCTTGGGCGAGTCCGGTGGAGACGACTTGGACGACGGTGCGGGGGCGGCGATGTTCTGGCAGATGGAGTCGAGCTTGGCGTTGACGGAGGCGTGGAGCGGGCCGGCGAGGTGCGCGCCGCCGCGGCGGAGGTTGGGGAAGTTGAGGCGCGCCGCATCGCCGCGGAGGCGGAAGGCCGCCTTGTCGTACGCGAGCGCCGCGTCCTCGGCGGTGTCGAAGGTGCCGAGCCACAGCCGCGTCCGGTTCTTGGGGAGGCGGATCTCCGCCACCCACTTGCCCCAGTGACGCTGCCGCACGCCGCGGTATAGCTTCCCGGTGGCCGACGTCGACGGCGCCCCGGCCAGCTTCATGGGCTGCGCCCGCGGGCCGAGGAGCGACGCCGAGAGCCCCCGCTGCTGCTGCTGCTGCTGCTGGAGGAAGAGCTGCGCCTGGATCTGATGGATCTGTTCTGGGCCCAGGCTGGCCAGCCCCACCGCGTCACCCGCCGACGGGTACGTGGCCGACGGCGAGGTGCTGTACTGCGAGGTCGGAGGCAGAGGCGGGAGCTGCGAGAAGGACGACGAGGTGGCAGGGGCGGCGGGAGCAAACGGAGCTTGAAGCCTGGTGTAACTGTAAGAGGAGGATGCAGGGAAGTAGCAGGATTCTTGGGGCAGCGAAGAGGAACTGTAATACGAAAATGGCGACGAGGTGGAGGTGGAGGTGGCGTAGAATGAAAATGGCGAGGTGGAGGTTGAGGTGGAGGAGGTGGGCAATGAAGCGCTCCTGATAAAAGGTTCGAGCGCTTTCATGAGCTCCTGGTCCGAGGAGGACGACGACGATGAGGAGCTGAACTGGTTCGCGGCGCCATACAGATCTATGGCCGCCATTGCCAACTAGAAGAAGATCGAAAAATCGAAACTTTTTGTGCAGAAACCGAACTAAAATGTAGAAATCGAAAAAAAAAAACTAAAGCCCTGTTTTCTTCAATAAAAGCGAAGAAGAACAGAGGACAGAGACCAATTGCTGGTGCGAGCAACCTGAAGGGGCTCTGTAAAAACAGCCCCTATGCCGGCTCGCAAGAAAGGCTAGAAAAGAAAGGCTAAAAAGATGAAGACGGACCAAGGATCCAGAGGAGTAAAAAGGTTCTCCGGATCTCTGCTCGTCCTAGCAAGAACAAGAAAAAGAACTTTGCATGCGAGCAAAGCGGAAGCGGAAGAAGAAGATGAAAAAATGGTGTCCAGGAACCCCTTCTTGCCTGATCTAATAGCAACCAAGAGAGGCCCCGGAGGAGGAGAGATCGGGAGAGAAATCTTACCTGCGGTCGCCGGGGTGGCGTGGGTGCTCCGTCGTGTTTGCTGTGTTTGGGTTTGGGGAAAGATCGCTCAGCCTCGCCGGGGAAGTGGGGTGTCTGGGTCGTGGGTCGTGGGTCGCGGATGGGAGGGCCGTGGGTGTGCGTGCTTGGTGATGGTGTGGTGTGGTGTGGGGGCGGGTGGCGGGTCTCTCCTGGGGAGCAATGGCTTCCGGCGGGGCCTTTATATAGCGCCGGAGCGCGGGGAGGACTGAGGAGGAGGGTGTGAATGAACCGTGGGAGTGGACGACGACGAGAACTCGCGCCGTGAAAGGGAGGCGGCGTCGCTGACGTGCGGGGCCCGGGCGGAGTGATGCCACGCGTGTCAGCCGTGGCGATGTCTGGTTGACCTGGCCTTCTGGTTTCGTTCGTTCATGCCCATCGCATGAGCCGCCGTTTGCTGGTGGAATCAATGCTTTGAGGTTGATATGAATCAACTTCTTTCTCTTTTGAATTTCAAAAAAGTGGAACACTGAGGTGGATATGTTTTGAAGAATAAAATTTACCTAATATACTCTCTTAAAAT